AAATGTCAATTCCTTGCTGCTCACGATAATGTTATAAGGCTTCGCGTATGGCTGGCCTGATTCCTTGGATTTCATCGTGGGAGGAGAATACGAGGGATGCTTGTTCTTAGGATTGGTGTTCATGATCACTTGATCAGAGACTCTTCCACCCACTTGGGTTCTGGACGGTTTCGGATGGCGTACAAATCACTTCTCACCTCTCCTCTCCTTACTCACTCTGGCGTGATCCTCACACAAAGCCAAATCCCCTTCTTCGGGCACTCGCTTAGCATGTGTCGATCTTATCCACCTCTACGCCATAGCAAGACACGGTCTCAAGATTCGAAAATGCACCGATTGTAAAATTGCCTGATTAACCCTGCAAATTTAACCATAGAAACATACATTATTATAATAAATAGGGAACAATTACCCTAATCGTCTTATCACGATAAATAAGATTTAACTACAATTAAAAAAGGTAATCATAGTAGGAAAAAAAACGATCAAGTTGAAGGTCTACTATAATTAATAGAATTAAACTTGTGAATATAAATTAAGAGAAATAAATTATACATGTACCTTACTTAGAAAAAGAACTTACCATAATAAAAATGATTAAAACTAATTAATAGTATAGTATCTCCAATCTATGGAATTTAAAATAGAACATATATTTCAAACAATTAAGGACCAAACAGGCATCATTTGAAGGCACATGGAAGCATGGAATATCATTTGATAATTAAAACCTCTGAAAATAGTATTTAAAAATCATGTTTCTAAAAAATCAAAGTCATCTGCCACGACCAATGTCATATCTATTGCAGTTGATGAGGTTAAGGTCATCCACCGTCGCAATGAAGGCGCCATCCACAATGGCATATTGCAAAAAATTGACAATATTGATGCTATCAAACCACACCATGAGGGACAAACTTTTGATGCGCCCTAAGCCTTTGTCGTATGTCTTTTTGGGGTGATCTAAGTATCGACAAAAAGTTTAAATAGTTAATGGCACTTGTTTTATTTCCAAATTATAACATAATTAAAAGTTGGACACCTAAAACCAAAACATCTCCTTTTCACACTTTTCAAACTTCCAAGGTGCCCATAACCAAACCCACAATGCCAAGAGCCAAAACAAACAACCAAATCAAACACCAGGGACTAGGGACAACTTGTGCAATGCACCATTTCATACATACTCCCCCTGTCCTTATATATAAAATTTTTTAAAAATATTTTTTTGTCCCTAAATATAAGAGATCAATTGTTAGCATATTTTTTTAATAAATGGATCATTATACCCTTATTATGTTAGAAAGGAAAAGAAAAAAGTATTCATAAATTTATTTTGAAAAAAGATATTCAATTTTTATTTACAATTATTAGGGATAAAATGGAAATATTGTTGTGCTTTTAAGTAGATAACTAACTTTCATTGACTTGTGTGATTTAGGTAAAAACATCTTATATATAAAGACGGAGGAAGTATATTACATTCTCATACCTCAACCCCCCATATCATCAAAAATCACAAGGGAAGCATAATAACATAGTTTCATAAACTACCCTTTTACAACAATCAAAATATTCATAAACTTATTTGCACTAGTGTTTAAGCCCCAATTAAACTTTAACAACACATACAACATGACTAAGGCACTAAATGCAAACAAACATCACAAGTAACATGCAATGGTACAAGTAAACCAAAATAATTGTCCTAGTTGGCAATTTATCATCATTAATTACACATATATAAATCAAAAGAAATAGGCATATTGTAGGAATCATAGATTTTTACGTTCAATTGCCTTCTCCTCGACTTTCCCTAAGCTAGAGCCTGTAATATATAGAAAAATGATGAGTACAATCATTTAGTAACCAAAAAAAATTTTAAATTATGCATCTGCAAGTTAGATCAAAATGGCATGTAAAGTGAGCAAATAAATCATTCTAATACTCAATTCAATATCAAGTCACATGATATCACAAATGCATTATCATTTGCTCCTTATCTCCTCCATATATTATCAACTGAATTCATGATCTAATAATTTAATAGGGCTAAGTGTATGAGAATGGAATAGACCAAGCTTACCAATCTTGAGGAAATATCCAACCAAAGGTGTTGCGTTCACTCTTTAACCACAAATTATCCCAATTCTCAAATTCATGGAGGTGTTGCAGGTCCTATTGTGCACCTAGTCTAGGGTAACATAAGGACTAAAGGCCTAGGAAACTTACACATACACCTATTTCTAGGTGAGATTTATGAAGACCGACCCTAGAACCAATCACAAGGCCACCCATAGTATTGGTTATATTCTACGTGAAAAGATAAAGCACTACTCCTCCTAGGGCAACCTTTTGCCTAAGGTATGATCATACAATCATACTCAAGGCATCACCATACATACCCATAATTCATAGCACAATCAAACTATCATAAGCATGCATATATTATCTCAAAGGCTCATATTCACTCAAAATAATTCATTTCTTGACTTCAATATTGTAAGAACATTTATTAAAATGAACTCATTTCATTTAATACAAAGAGGCCACACTTGCATTACATTTACTAAAACAGTAACAAGTTTATATTTGGACAAAACCATATTAATCATGTTCACAGATAACCAAAATCAATCTAACAAACAATTAGTACAAGATAGAATTTTTTTCAATTATCTTAAACCTTTGAGAATTCAAAGATCATCCTTAATAACTTGCTTCTCAAGCTTGTAAAGAGCTTAAATGAGATGTGACAAGGTTAATCTACAATTAATAGCAACAAATCATCACTAAGAATCCACTTAAATGCCAATCTCAACTCCTAAACTCACACTTTAAAAACCTAATTCCCTAAACTCAACTTTGCAGCCCATAAATTTACTACCTTCCAATAACTCTATTTAGCTCCCATTAGTTTAAATAACAAATAATATATCATCTAGCAACTCAAAATCTTACTTAAAGTAGCTAGGGTTCATCCAAAACCCTAGACCCAAACTCAACCTTGTAAAATCTTCAAAACTAGGTTTATATAGGTTAAGTAATTCCAATTAGTCCCATAAGGACCAATGGATTCAGACACATAGCCTCAAAGTCTAAAAATTTGTTCTTCCAAAAGAAAACTTAGCTTAAATTTGTGAAATAATGGAAGAGGAGGAGAAATGAACGAATAAGGAAGATTACCTCAACAAATCCAAGCTTAGATTGCACCAAGAGGTCCAAGAAACAAAGCCTTAACTCTCTGAATTCCTCTCACCGCTTCTCCTCTATTTCTCTTTTTTTTTCTTTTTACAGTTCACAACGCACAAACTAATTATTTAAAAATTTGACCATCCGCGGCACATAATGGGCCTAATCAAATTGCTCTCCCATTTTGGGCCCAAGTCGCCCAAAACACCTCCAAATCCCAATCCAAAAGTTATACCTAGAACTAATAGCCTATTAGGTAACACGAACTATCATTAATTTAAAGGGTAAAGGTGCAAATTTGATCATATACTATTTTTGTGGAGCATTTGATAGCCTCAATTATTAAATAGTGCAAAATCAATCATAAACTTTAAAAAATGAAACATCTAATAGCTTGCCGTTAGCTTCAACTGATAGAAGTTATGTGGAACCTATAATGACACGTGGCACAACATGAGTATGACACGTCAGCATGGTAAAGTGAAAATTTAGGCACGAACGATTTTTCGAGAAGCACTAAATAACCTCTACTATAAAAAAGCAGATCATCCAATACCTTCCCTTCAATTTTGACTAAATACTATTTATTTTCATATTTATAAGGCCCATAAAGTATTAATCTCTTTAATCTTTTTGCCTTCATTCTCAATCTCAACTCAAGAAGCAAAGGTTTAAAGAGTTATTATCTAAAAACATTCACAAAGACGACGCTAACAAAGTAAAAAAAATTCATGGCTAAATTAAGTTAGAATCAAACCTCTTCCATGCTTAGTAAAATCACGATTCTACTTCTTTAGCATCATCTTTGTAAATATTTTCAAATAAAAACTCTTTGAACATCTTTTTCTTAAGCTGATACTGAGAATGAAAATAAGAAGATTGGAGAGATTGTTGCTTTCTGAGCCTTATAAGTATAAAAATAAAATGTATTTGATCAAAATTGAGGGGAAGGTGTTGGATGGTTCATTTTTTTTTATAATAGAGGCTACCTAGTGCTCCTAAAAAAATAATTTGTAGCTAAATTTGCATATTTACCATATTGACATGTTGTGCCAGTGTTGTGTCACGTGTCATTGTAGACCTCACATAATGTTCATCAGTTAAAGTTAACAGGGGGCTACTAGATGCTCCATTTTTAAAAATTTATGATTTATTTTGCGCCATTTAATAATTTAAGATACCAGATATTCTTCAAAAAATAATATATAACTAAATTTGCTATTTTACCTTAAATTAAATAACATTCATTTTTTGCTAAGATATCCTTAATTTATTTAATTAATCTAAGAATTAAAATTTAAAATGTTATACCGATCAAATCGGCATTGACACTATCCACAAAAATGAATGGATAATGAAGATCCTCCGTGTTTGCAACAATCAACTTAGTCCATCTTAACACTTGGCATCGATACATGGGGCCCATTCTAGAAAATTAACAGGTGTTGAGAAAATTTAACAGAGAGAAGGATGCCCTCATTAAAAAAAAAAAATTATGAGTATTCATGTATTTTTGTTGATCTAATCATTTAAGGATGCTAACAACTACTAACGAAAAAGTTAATAAGTATTTGTTTTACTTTACCCAATATTTTCTTAAATCATGACATTTTAATAGTGCAACTCACTTTAATTACTTTTCTTAATCCTTTTGAAGTAGATGCAAGGTGTCAATATTTTGAATTATGATTAATATTTAATTTTTTTATGAAAATTATTATTTATTTGTTTGCTAAACTTTTCTATTACAAATGGACCGAATCATTTTTTTTTTTTTTTGCCACAGACCGAATCACTTTCTTCCAATGTGACGTTTGATAAATTATGGGAGGCATGTCCTTTGAAGTCCGGGCTCTGCCTAACTCCATTCGTATTCCGTATCGTTTTCCTCTTTGCGTGATTCAGAAGAAATACCAGTGCTCTTCTTTCTGTTCTATCGTCACTCTCCTTTAATTATTCTGTTTCTGTTTTCCGTTTCCCTTCACTCTCAAATCTTCATTATTTCGTCTGGATCGGTGATCTTCAGCAATTTTCTTCTTTCCCATCCTAAGGTTATGTTCATCATAATTCTCTCTCGTTCTGTTTCGATTTCGGAGTCTATTCTGAGCAGATGCTTGATTTTTGTTTTTCCCCCTCCTGATGGTAGGATAGTTTTAATTGGTATTTAACTGATTCGGGTTTGAAATAAATAATAAAATTCTGGGTTTGAGGCAATTCCTGACTCGATTCTGTGATTTCGCTGTGGCGAAATTACTCATAATTTCTTTACATGTATTTTACGGCACCAAAAAACGAAATGCTGTGCGTTTTGTTGTGGAGATCTTACGTTTGAGGGGATGAATTGGGTTGCTTCAAGGGGTTATGTATAGCATATGGTTAGCCTGGTAAGGCAGGGTTTTCAGCTATGAAACTATGGCTATGGTTTATGCAGAGGCTCTCATTCTGTTTCCCCTGTATAGTACTATCTGAATTTTTGTTTCAATCAACTGAAAAGTGATTAATTTCTCACGATCTGATTCAAAATATTATTTAAAATGTCAATATTATCTATATCTGGTTGATTGTGTTCCTTGCTATGCATTATACGGTGCTGAGGTTTAGAAAAAATACTAGATTACTGTGCATTCTGACCCAGATACGCTGATGATTAATTGTGATTCAGCTGCTGATGTATTTGCATTCATCAGTTCAATTTCATTATTCAAATCCTTGTATCAATTTTCTGAATTATTATTGAGGGCAAGATTATTTGATCTTCATTTTTCAGAATCTCGGGGGGGAAATCTTCTGGAACTGAAGTATATATACTGCTGAATGTCCTAGACTGACACATGTAGCACGATATTTTGATTGTCGTTGAGATAGGCACCACCCGTAATGCCGAATGATGTGCCTCCATGATGAAAGCTCTGTATTTGAGATCCATGAGGTTATATCTCTGGTATTACTTCATGCTCTACAGGAGTGGGTTAAAATTCTTTAGCTCATTTCTTCTCATTTCCCTGATGCATAGTTGGCACACGAGTTTTTTGAGAGTGCCATTCACATTATTGCATGATCTTTGTGAAGATGGTGGAATAAATTTGTCTATATATACGTATAGTTATAGATATACTCTTTCCCATTTGTAAATGATAAGCCTTTATGTGAATGAAATACTGGTGCAATATTTCATCTTACTGTGAGATTTGACATGGAGAATAAACCAAATATATTAATGCAAAGATATGAATTAGGAAGGTTACTGGGCCAAGGTACCTTTGGAAAGGTATACTACGCCCGCAGTACAATAACTAACCAGAGTGTAGCTATTAAAGTGATAAACAAGGACAGGGTTATGAAATCTGGACAAGCCGAACAGATCAAGAGGGAAATATTTGTAATGAGACTTGTTAAACATCCCAATATTATACAGCTTTATGAGGTTATGGCCACCAAAAGTAAGATTTACTTTGTTATCGAATATGCTAAAGGCGGTGAGCTCTTTGACAAGGTGGCCAAAGGAAAGCTCAAAGAAGATGTGGCACATAAATATTTTCAGCAGCTAGTGAATGCCGTAGACTTTTGTCATGGTAGAGGTGTATACCACCGTGACATAAAGCCAGAGAACCTTTTGTTGGATGAAAATGGGAACCTAAAGGTTTCTGATTTCGGATTAAGTGCTTTAGCTGATTCTAAGAGACAGGATGGCCTACTACATACACCTTGTGGCACGCCTGCCTACGTTGCTCCTGAACTCATCAAAAGGAAAGGTTATGATGGTGCCACAGCTGATACTTGGTCATGTGGAGTAGTTTTGTTTGTCTTACTAGCAGGTTATCATCCTTTTCATGATTCAAATTTGATAATGATGTATAGGAAGATTTCCAAAGCAGACTATAAGTTCCCTAGTTGGTTCTCCCCAGAAGTACGTAGACTGTTAATGAAGGTTTTGGATCCAGATCCTGATACTAGAATCTCCCTAGCTAAGATTAAGGAATCTTCTTGGTTTATGAAAGGGCCATTTTCTAGAGAAAAGAAATCTGAATGCGCGAACAAGGGTGTCTCAACATCAGGTGTGAAGCCTTGTGATCAAACCGATGAAAGTGATAGTATAGCAGCAGAAGCAGAAGCAATGCGACAGTCAGTTGTGCCCACAAGTATAAATGCTTTTGACATCATCTCACGTTCTAAAGGTTTTGATCTATCTGGATTCTTTGAAGATAGTTTCAAGAAGAGAGAAGCCAGATTTTCTTCGAGGCAACCAGCCTCAGTCATTATCTCTAAGCTGGAAGAAATCGCTAAGCGTCTGAAGCTGAAAATAAAGAAAAGAGATGCAGGTATGTTGAAATTAGATAGCCTCAAGGAAGGTAGAAAAGGGATTCTATGCATCGAGGCGGAGATCCTTGAGGCGACTCCAGTTTTCCATTTGGTTGAGATGAAAAAATCGAATGGAGATACATTGGAATATCAGAGCATATTGAAAGAGGAAATTAGGCCTGCTCTTAAGGATATTGTTTGGGTTTGGCAAGGGGACCAGCAACTACAATCACAACCATCAGAGGACCAGATACAGATGCATGACCAGCCAGTGACAACATCCACATCTATAGCGCATTCGTAATCTGAAGCCTTTTGTTGTCTGTTGAAGTGTGTCACGGTATGTCCGCTTGCAGTCATGTTACTTTTGCACTTGCAGTCATGTTACTTTTGCATAACTGATGTTGCTGTGGCCTTATAATGAAATGAATTTGTCTCATATATTCTGGGTCCTGTGGATAAGCCTTCTAGCATATGATCCAAATATTTGGTACTTGAAGCCTACCAAATCACATTAAAATAATATCAGGTAGTGTTTAGATTGAGGAATTTGAATTTGAATCTTAGATATAAAATCACATATTTAAAATCCATGTATTTAAACTTCTTTTTTTTTGGATAGTGTAAAAAATTTTAAATCATAATAATTAAGGTTTTCATTAAAAGAATGGCATGTGAAGGAAGTTTTTTTGTTCAATTGTAGTCAAGATTATGATGGTGAATTATAATAATTAAGACAAGTATTCATCTTACAATCTTATTGTAAAATTTAATGGCAAACCACTAGTCCGTAACATTCTTTACTCAAGACTTGTCGATACATGTGATAGTTTTTCAAGGAGTAGTATAGGTGGCTAAATTCTCTGGAGCTTTCTGATACAAAAGACATTAAGGGTGTTTTTTTAATTCCTCAAATCAATATCAATAATTATGAAAAAATATTTCACAACTTGCTTGGTTAGATTGAGTATCACTGAGCAATAAAATAAAGTAAAAATTAACAAAAAATATAAACACATAAACAATAAAAATAAATAATAATTAACATATGTAATGAAAGAATATATATATATATATATATATATAATATCGAGACGAGATGGGGTGTCTCGAAAGGTATCTTGAGTCCTATCTTGTCCCGACTCTTTTTCTATTCTATTTTACAAATGTCTTGTCTTAATTATTTTTTAGGCCATGACAAACTTATCTCGACATGATTGGAACAAGCGTGGGCCAATCAAGATTAGTACAACCCTAAACACCTCTAGTTTGGGTTGTAAAAATAGAGGGGAGGGGAGGAATTTTTTTTTTTAAAAAAATTTTCCTCTCCTCCAAACCCTCCCATCCAAAATGGGGGGATGAGGAGATGAGGAGTATAATTTTATTATATTAGAACTAATATAATATGATAATCCAAAAATGTCTCTCCCTCTTTGTTGCCGTGTGTCTCTGTTCAAATTGTGTTCCTCCTCCCAACTTGCATCATCACTGTTGCTCCATTTGTTCAGGTCATCACCTGTGTTGGGGATTGGATTTTTCTCCTGAGGCTTCCTCCTTTTTTTTTTTTTGCTATTTTTCTATTATATGTTAATAAACTTAATACTTGCTCGTACATTTGTTTTTAAACTATAAATAAATTATTACTGAATATGTTATTAGCAATGTATATATGTGAAATATGGATAATTATATACTTATAATTATATTTTAAAAACATTCATAATTATATTTTATTGGGAAAAAAACAATTTTATAAGATAAGATAAAGTTGTTTATGTATATTTATTTTTCCTTCGCTCTCCTCCTAAACCAAATAAGGTGTCATTCTGTCCTTCCATTAAAATTTCTCCGCTCCCCTCCTCTCCCTTAACAGTCCACAATAATAAAAATTGTAAGATATAAAGTGCAGTTTTGATGAAAAGGTTTATTTGATAATAGTGAAATTGAAAAGGATGGAAATAGTGAATTGAAATTACAAGACGTCTTTTAAAAGAATTTTTTGGTAAAAAAAATTAATATAAAGTACATGAATGATTATTTATTACTATTTTTTAATTTTACCTTAATTATAAATTTAATTTTATGTCTCATCATATATTGTATATCTCTCTTTTTTTATTTTTTTATAGAGGTAAAGTTGGAAAACTTTTTCATTTTAAGATATATTTAATAAGTTAATTATCATTTTCTGATTTTTATAAAATAGTTGAAAATGTTTTATAATAAGGACTTCATGGAATTTACGCCAACCTACAATTCCTCACTTCCTCATTTTCACTTTTTATATAGTTTGAGTGGTTTATTCAAAAGAAATTAAAAATGATAAATTTCTCAACTAAGGAAATGAAATTTGAATTGGACTTTCCAAAGATTTGATGTTAGTGCCAAATTAAGAAAATGCAGAATGAAGTGTTATAATTAGATAGAATAATGTATCAACTATGGTACTCCCTTCATCCTTAACATAAGGTAAGTTTCTTTTATATATATATATATAAATCCAGTCCTTAATATAAGGTCAAGTTAGAGTAATTACTGTTTTTCTGTCCATTTTATCCCTTGTTTATTTATTATAATTTAATTTTTTATATAATAATTTATTATGATTATTAATTGCAAATAATGAAAAAAATTATGAAATTACATTTTTTCAAAACAATTTTATGGATTTATATAACTACCATTTCTTAATAAGAAAGAAATTGGCTTAATTTGTCATATATTAAGGGTGGGAAGGAATATCGAATAACATTGGAATCTGATATGATATCAATCAAATGCTAGGAACTTTTTAATCACTCCCTCTGTTTCAAAATCTAAAATTTTTAAGGTTTGAAATATACAAATTAAGAAAATGGAATTAATACAATATTATCAAATTTGCCTTTGATGTATTAAAGTTTGTCCAAACTACTCATAACTTAAATAAGAATACAATAAGAAAAGTATTTACAAACACTTTTGAGCTGTGCATGTGAAATTGGAAAGCCTAAAATTCATAAAAATTTTCATTGAAATATAATAATATTGAGAACGTAAATTTAACCCCCTTTCGTTACAAACAAAATGGAAACATGAGAGAATGCCAAAAGGCTAAATAGTAACAGACAATGGTGGGGTCAAGTATTGAATTCAAGAAAAGTAGAACGCAAGTTTTGTTTTGTTTTTGGGTTTTTTTTGGGACCAACATTGGTTCATATAAAATGCTGATGTTTATAAGTATATTGTTTCAGCGATTCGAGAGAGTTATCAACTTCATTCAAATCGAGCATACCCAGAGAGTCATCCTCTTACCAGCAACATCAAAAAGATCAAAAATCTTTTTATGTGAGATTGGAATGTCACTTTGAACCATATTCTTGGATAAGCTAATCAATGTACGGACAATCTTGCTCACCTTGCAAACTATGGTAAGTTTGATATTAAGGTTTTACTTACCTTTGGCATTATTTAATTTCTATCTCCTGCGCTGCATGATTAATCCATGGCCTTGTATTTTTTTTTTAAAAAAAGAAAACTTCGTTACTCAATAATAGACTTGTAATTTACTGATACCCTCCAAATTTCAGAAATAAATGTAACCCATGACGGTTGCATTGACGGTACACTTCAGAGTGTCAAAACCATTATTTTAAAAATCAAGCCGAACTGAATGGTAAGAGCGGTTGGATCATCGAAACATTTTCCTAATTCAATTAATGAAAAAAATTTGAACAATTGCGAAGTGCTCAACCTAAGATTAAATCCTTTTTAGAAGGTTTAATAAGGTTCGAAAGACTTGTGAATCTCATAATCTTTAGGTTCTTTGGAACGAATTACTTGATTTTCTTCAAATTGATCCCATCACAACACACAGCACTGGCAGTCGCAATCTGAACATAAAGGATTCATTTGGAGGGTGGAGAAAAAATTAGGAGGAGAAAATTCTTTTTTTTCTTTTTTTTAATTATTTTTAAGATTTTTCCTTTCTAGTTTCCCTCCTCTATATTTTTCTTCACATCCAAATGAATGGTAAAAGATAAGATAAGAGAAAACTCTTATATATATATATATATATATATATATATATATCAAGTTTACCTTAACTATCGATTTAGCCTCTCAAATTTAATTTTTATCAATTAAATATCTTATATTTTCTTAAAACATAAGTTATTCTAGTTAAGTATACTAATGACCAAACATGTGTATGTAGTTAAATGAAAATAAATTAACTGTTAAATTAGTTTAATTTTTGTATCAATCTAGTCTCTTATACAACATTTTATTTTATTTTTCAAAATTTTTAAATATATTTTTTTATATCTAAATAATTACATTTTTTTTAGTAATTTATGTGGCTACTATCAATATTCAGTTATCGATATTGGTAGATTTTAACAATATTATCTTTTTTTTAAAAAAAAAATAAAAGTTAAATTAATAATTGAAACAAAATTATTTAAAAAAAAAATCAATGACTGAAACAAATTTAAAGGATTAAAAATTTTATCATATATATATATATATATATAATGATCTCTCTAACATGATCCTTTGAAGTTCTTCAAAGGTTTCAAATCATACACAATTCAAAAAAAGAAAAATGATTTTTACATTGAGCTGACTCCGCATGGTTAACAGTAGGGCTGTATAGAATAGCTAATAGCCCGACATGCTCGACTCAACCTTAAAAAAAAAAGCTTAGCCCGACCTTGAAAAATTAGCCCTCATCTCCGTCAAAGGTTGGGCAAAGTTTAGAGTTGGAGTGTCAAACCAATTAGCCTTACTTGACTTGAGGTTTATTTTTTTAATTAATAATACAATATCGTTCAAGCCACTAAAAATGGAAGAAAATTATAACCCAAAGCCTAACTCTCTCTAAAGCACATGGCACTTTCACTCTCGCAGACAACGTGACTCCGACATCATCTCGTCAACTCTCATGGTTTCACCTCTTCATCTCCGTCTCGCCTTCAGCATTCCGTTTCGGCTCCGAGGTTTGCGTGTCATACTCGCTTAGGTTCTCTTTTACTCCCTTAGATTCGATGGGTCTCAAGAAGCTTGGATTCGTCTCTTAGAAGCTTGGGTTTTGGCCCAATACTTTGTCTTTTTTTAAAAAAAATAATATAAAAATAAATTTATTAAATAATACAAAATATAACTAGAATCATTTAAAATGGATTATTTATAGAAGTACTGTTAGAATTTAGAGTAACAATTTTTTAAAATTGTATATAATTAACAATTATTTATTATTTGCACATGATGTAAAGTAAAAAAAATAATTTTAAATATTTAAATTATTAGAAAAATTGAAATTATAAAATATATTCACAAAGAACATAAAAAATAATATAATACATAAAAGTATTAAATAAAATAACATTATAAATAATTATGCTCTGAAAAAAATAGAAACAAAAAATTTGGTTGGGTTGCGATGGTCATCCAGACTAGCTTGAGCAGGACTGAGCTGACTGAGCTATCAGACCACCTGCACAGCTCTACCCCTATCCCTCTTCTCTTATTCAAAGTCATTTTTGGGAATTTATGATCTAAAATGTTTTGTTCTTCAGAAAAAAAATGCAAATACTTAGTTATTGAGAATTGATTTTATTGAGCCCTTTTGTTATAGTTCCATGAAAATCTTGGCAAATTGACCACTATATTGTAGAAAAAAATATTTACTAAAATACTACAAATTCAAAAGTATTAACTAGAATACCTTAAATTGAAAATCAATTTCATTGACAAAGTACATAACTTGGGCTATGTGACACCAAATGATTAATTTGAGTTTCAACTACTCAAAATCATGGAAACCAAATGAATATTATTTTTTTACGTTTAAATATTATATTAGTTTCAAATCCAATATTATATTAGTTTTATAAATATGAATTACATGTTTACCATCTTCAAAATTGAAATGGATTTAAAGTTGAGGATTTTCACACTTGCCTTCAAAGACACCAAGGACCGGATAAAGTTTGTTAACATTGAAATTTTTTTGTTGGTATCCTGCCCTAATTAGCTACTTTGCAGTTGAGGGGCCCCCAAGATGTCCCCATAGCTTTGTCTCTTTAAGCCGGCTACGGGACTAACCCTTGAGTCAGCATCATAGTAGAGAAAGCATGGTCCTAGAGCTTGCTGCCTCCCAAAAGGGCCCTCCTAAAGAATCAAACTTGAGTTCTTTTTCTTGGGGGTCTTGTTAACACTTATTAAAATTAAAAATCTACAAATTTTTTTATATGATATAAATGTAACTATTTAAAAGGTTATTTATTTAAAAATTATGAATTGTAAATGTAAATATATATATAGATATCATATATTTTATATATATTATATTATATACATGAGTAGGATTATTCACATCGCCTAAAAACACAATCATCCCGGCCTTGCTTGAGCCATTCAAGCACATTGAGTCAAGCATTGGGCTAGGCACCCAACCAAAGATGTTATTTTTGGAAAATAATATTTATTCTGTGGTATTATTATTTTTTTGTTAAGAGTTGTTTGAAATATATTATTTTTATGTTATTTCAGACATTTCTTATCATTATAATTTTTTAGTCTCTTTCAAAATTTAAAATTTATTTAACTTAATATTATGTAAAAGTGATTGACACTTTTTGATCATATGTAATTTTTTTAAAAAAAAATTGATTATGATATTAGTTTTATAAAGAATATATGTTTAAATGATAACACTTATTCTTTTCATGAAAGAAATTATATATATTTTTTAAAAAAATATTTGTAAAAAAATTTTGAGTCAATTGAGTCAAACCTCATCCTAAATTGCACATAGAGCCAAGCACCAAGTAGAGGTGAAACCCAACTCGACCCTATCCAACTGCATTTTTATTTATGATAGGGGAGCTACTTGAGCTTGAAAGAGGGGAAGAGGAGTTATTGAAAGAGAGAGGGGGGAGGGGGGAGAAGAGGTTAGGCTTTAGGGGTGTAGAGAAGATGGAAGCCATGCCTGCCACATTTGACACACATTTTTTAAATTTAATTGTACAAAACTTGGTGTAAGATAGCTCGAGTTATGTACTTCTCACATTGAAAAATAAAATCTAAACTTGGTGTCTCTGAAATCAATTTTCAATTTATAGTAATCTGGTAAATATTTTTGAATTTGTAGTATTTTGATAAAAATTTTTCTCTATATTATGGTGGTCAATTTGCCTGCAAATCTTGTTGATATGAATGTTTTGTGCAACTAAGTATACTTATCAATTTTATTGATATGCACATTTTATGCACCTGTATTGTATAGATATGAATGTTTATTAAAATGCTAGTTTTCTCACGTCATAATCTATGTGAAATTGATAGGTTGAAATGGAATAAACTAATCATGTTTCAAGTCACTCTCAGCATGTGTCATTCGTTAGTCTTGGTGAAACACAAACTCCCCCAAGTCCTAATCCAAGTCTCAATTCTTTTCACACTTATGGCTACACCCTTTCCCTAAAATCAAAGTCAATTTAATTCCAGTTTGTTTATACCTTCCCTATCGTCTCCTCTACCACCTATTGCCACTACTGCAAAAGCCTCTCAAGAAGTAGAATGTATGGTTCAAAAGAGGAAAGAACCTACAAAATCTAAACCTAAAAAGAAGACACCAAAAGCATCACATGGGATAAATTCCTTGAAAAGGCACAGACCAAAATGTCCCAAGAACACATATAAGGCCACAATAGATAAAAAAAACACAATCAATGTTAAACTATGTGTCATAAGGAGGGACAGACTTGCAAGGCCAACAAAGAGGCTTAATTCCTCATCTTTTGTGTATATTTTCCCAAGTGTTGGTGTTGTTCTTCATTGAGGGCATTTTAGATATAAAAGTGACTTTTCCAAACATTCCACTTGAGCTTTGAAATTATGTCTTTTAATGTGCCAAGATGACTAGTAGAATTAGTTTTTTTAATTCAATTTAGATCGAGTTATTTAGGAAGATATAATTTAAAGTTGTCTCTCTAAGGGGTGAGAATTTGCGTTTAACTTGAGTCAAGTGTGTGTTCATCTTTGTACTTTTGTTTTGGCTTTGCATTTCACTTCACATTCTTAGACCTAATATTCTCACCTAATTTGAATTAAATTACCACACATTTTGGTTGATTTGATTTTTTTTTTCTCTTGCAATATAGGTTAAATAAATGAAGGGGATGAAGGTATGTGACAACATTATCAAATGATCATTTGATGTATAGTGAATGGCACCACATTGAATCAAATGACGAGGTGTAGACTAAGCTTTGAAGGGTAAAACACATTAGATCAAGCTAGAATTGGAATAATCACCTTTCCCTCCAATTTTGCCAACTTGCACATGGGAGTTTCGGCCACTTGCATTAGTAGTTGGAAGACTCACACACTCACAATTCCCAAGCTTTCTCTCATTTTCTCTTCTGCAATTCGTGTAGTTCAAGTTCTTCACACTTTCTCTCATTTTCTCATCACTTTCCTAACATTTTCTCACCCAAATCTTTCTCATCTCTCAATCAAATCCATCAATCTTTATCTCATTCTTCTTCTCACCTCAAATCGATCCAAACCCTTTGCTTCATTCATTGATCCGTTGCTTCAATCTCTTGGAAAGAAGATCATGGCCGAGCTCTTGATGAAGGCTTCCATGGTGATAAAACTCATTTATTACATAATTTTCTATGTTAATTAGGATAATTAATCAAGTGTTATTAGATCAAAGTGTATACACATTGCATTAGAATTAAAAATTTGCTTAAGTGTTTAACTTATGTGCACTAGGGATATTTTGGTTCAAAAATTAAATTTTTGAGAAAATGTATAAGAAAAATTGATAAAATATATTTTAAATGAAGAAGAATAGTGATCAAATTAGATTTTATAAATTCATTTTAGTTTGAAAGTAATTAAATAAAAGTCAACACTTTTCATTGACTTTCTCAAATGTGTTTTTTAACTTAGTTTTGGGTTAATTGTGTGAGAATTTTGTATAATTTTGTGCACCTATTACTTGAAAATTTTTAATAAATTATCCTTTCTAAATATGAATTTAATTTTGGACTTTAATTATATTTTGTGATGTCACATTTTATTAAATTGAATTTTGTATATTTTGTGATATAGGTGAAATGTACACATATCTATCAATTGGGCAAAGCTCCAAGGAGTAAAATCTGATCAAATGTGGCAGGAAAATTCTTTAATTGGCAGGAATAGATATAATTAAAATGTGGTTGAAACATGAAATTAATTTAACACACTTTGAAATCATCTACAAGTCAATTGAAAAATGCTATATTGCAAGCCTCGTTCATGTGACTTGGATTCACTTGCATTTTTATTTTAGTTTCTTTTATTTTAATCATTTAGGAGCTGAAAGTGAACCATTCTACACATCCTTTGGTTGGAGTAATCAAATCAAATTCATTTATTCAAGCCATCCTCTTCCACCTTCTCTCACTAGTTCTTTCATTGTTCTTCATCTTCCACCCAATTTTTTTCATAAATTCTCGCTCAAATCACCACAAAACACACATCAATCTTCTCCTCTTCATTATTTCGTCCAATCCCTCCTATTTTCATCAAATTTCAAAGCTTCAAATCCTCATTTCGATGGCTAAAAAGTTGGGCTACCTCATGAAAATAAAGAAGACCATGAAGATGGAGATAAGGAGTTAAGCACCTTGAAGGAATTCTAGAGAAAAGAAGATGAATGATGAATCATAAGCTTCATGGCTAATCTTTTTTTTTATTTCTTAGCTCTTCTCTTTTAACTTAATGATAGGATACCTTAGTTGAGAATTTAATTATTATAGCCCTGTAATTCTAATTTGAATTTAACCTTTGTGTAAAGAGAATGTATTTGTGACATTGAATTATCTCCCATTTGTTCTTGGATTAATTCACACACTTGATGATTAATGCATATAATCATGTTTTTTATTTTGTGAATTGCTTGCTTTAATGCTACATGACGTTGTGAGATTAATGCTTGTACTTGAGTAGCTTTATATAGTCTTGTGGTAGCTCATTTCTTTGCATTTGGCTGTGGCACTTGAGGGATGAATTTAATTGTCTCACTTGGCTAACACTTGCACCAATTAGTGAAATAAACTAAAGACTTTAATTTAAGACTTAAGGAGTTGAAATAGTTAGGTTATTTGGCTTGGGATACTTGTCTTAGGCTAATACAATTTGGTTAAGAGGAAGAGGAAGGCACAAATTTCCTTAATCAACAAGAATATAATGATTCCAACATCAACTAAACTTTAGGATTCCAATTCTTAAAAAAAGGAACTTCTACATCACTCATTTTAGTTTAGAATTTAGCTTTTTTTTTTTTTACTAATTTCAGATAAATCAACTTCAACAATTGGGTCACTTATTCTACTAGTTAACCTCTTAATTAGACAATAGCCACTCTTAAGAGGATGGCCTAAGTTGACCTTTTGCTACATTAGGGTTAATTCATAACAAACTTAAAACACTCTTTACTTGTTTTTGTTACTTTAGTGCTGTAGTTTAGTTTGGACACTTGAATTCAACCTTTGGATAACCTATAAGCAATTAGATAAGGTTCTTAAAGATATGACCTAGGTTGCACTCTAACTTTACTAGGGTTTAGCTTAGTTAAATAATTTGGTGCAAATCAACATTAACATCAAATTTTGACGCCGTTGAAAACCCATAATTAATGAGTTTAAATAGAGATAATGTTAAAAAAAATATAATTAATACCTTACCAAATATCTTCTATTCAAGGCCATCAATCCCCTTTAAAAAGTGCTTTATAGTAAGGACCAGATGAAGTATATATAAACATTTATGAAACCATTTGAAGTGGTTTAATTACCCCACTTAGTAAAAAGAAAAGTAAAAGATCATTAGGTAGATGAAAGGAGGTAGATAGACAATGAATACAACTAAAAGCATTGAAATCTAAGCTTAATCAATTCGGTTTTCTCGTCGTCTTTAAAAGGCAGTATAATATTGCTTGCAATCTTCATGTTCCATACAAGAGGAGTTAAGATTTAAGAACCACGATCATCTAGAAACGAATAAACTCAGCTAAATCATGGTAAATCAATATCCAATTAACTGGGTAAAAGTTAAAATGCAAAATTACCATTGCAACATGAAGTTAAATTTGCAGAGTGTGAAGTCAATTTTCCCCCCTCTGTCATTTCGTCATCAGTATTTTAGTAGCAAGCAAAGTAGATGGATAGAAAGAACCTAAATGGAATAAATTGAAGACTTCAGCTCAATTTACCCTTGGCTTGCAAATGGCATTGCCCTTGACAAAAGTTTGGCTTAAGTTATGAGAGATATAACAGAGGAAAAGAATTAGAACTCAGTAACCTTACATTTTTCCCCTTAATCACTGTTTGTCATTTATTTTTGGAAAAATATAACTATTGATCCCTTTAGTTTTAATATGCTTAGTATAGGTCCCTATAGTTTTTTTGGTTGTTTCAATCCTTCTAGTTTATCTCATCTGCAACATTAATCTCTCTATTTTTGAGTATATCCAAAAAGACAATGAGATGATATTAATAGTGTCAAATATGTTGACTAGTAACTAATGCCATTAACCTTTGTGTTAATGTGAAATTATGATTCAACAAGTTGAAAAATGAAATAAAACAGGATGGACAATGTTGTTAATATGCTAAATCACAACTTCATCTTAGCACGAATTAATGGCATTGGTCACAAATCAATATATTTAACACCGTTGGTGTCATCTCATCATCTTTCTTGGCATTTTCAAAATTAAAAAATACAGAAGCTAACGTTATAGATGGGATAAATTAAAGAGACCTAGAATAATAAAAAAATTTATAGGAACCTATACCAAAATACATTAAATCATTATGTTTTTCTTTTATTTTACCCCCTTTTTGTACTATCAAGCATCAATTCAAGGTTGACAACCTATTTCACGAGTTTTTAAAGCCCCATAAACGATTATGCAATCATATGTTTTAAAATTACCAGTGCAAAAGGGGTGAACTGAATTAAGATTACCAAAAACACCTTAAAGTTTAGCCCACTGTCGTCATCAAGACACTCACAAACTTGCGGCAAGTGAAAAATCATTTTCAGTGACATCATCATGCGACTGTGAACTAAAAGATATATAACTCAGATGAATCACAAAGATAATGACAACAGCAAACCTCACTTCCTGACAGAATATTTGGCACTCGTATTGGCACATACCAATGTTTCGGAACATATCCATAGCTAACAGAAGTTTCCACTTGCCACTATGCTAGTTTGATAACTTATCTTAGTACAATGTTGCTTGATCGGTTTTTTTTTTTTTTTAACTTTCTTTTTCCCAAATTTCGATTTTATTTTGTTTTAATTTCAAGGGATATCCTCAGGATATTACGATGCTTTGACGCGTCTCAAGATCATCACATCACCTCTTGAAGACCACCACAATCAATTCTTCTTCTTAGTCTTGTTTTGGTGCATCCTAAGACACGGCCAGACTTCTGACAAATTATTGCAGAAAAACTGGATTTTGGAAAATGAAGAGACATAGGTAAAGTTATTTCTATGTATAGTGTTGAATTCATTCTACTAGACACAAGAATTCTGAAGGTTGAACATCAATTCAGTCATTTATCTAACATGACTGAATTACCCTCCACATCTTGAATCCGCTATTCCTTTTCTGACATAAGCCGACTTTCTTTAATAATACCCAGATAAATAATTCCCCAAATGGATTCTTCCAGAATCAATTCTCAACAATGAATCTCTCCACCCGCAGAATAAAGCATAAAGTAAAACCAAACACATACTTACAAATCCAGCATTAGTAAAAATTATAGATTCTCACAGGATTATTCTCAAAGAACAATTCTATTGGAGGAGTCTACCTTTCATGAACTGTACAAAGAAGCTATGTATGAAGCTCTTACTGTGACAAGCAGCTCCAACTTATAAGAATAATTTCAGGGTCACCTTCCTCTTCTTTCCTACCTAGACATCTTAAGATTCAATGAGTAGTTTAAAATCATCAATAATTGCTTTCTTTGAGAACTAATAAACCATACAAAGCTATAGCAATAAACCAAACAGCAATTCTAGCAAACCATGGTGAGGAGGATAGTACAGGTCTAATAATTTGTGCCAGCCAAGTTAAGTTTGATTTTCACGATGCAAAAGCCATCTGTCTCACAACAAGCTGATAAAGCTGGTTGTTGTTAAAAGTTTACAACGCCTTAATCTTATTGACCTTCAATTGAAAAAGAGCGCCATAACTCCAATGACAACGAACGAAGAAGGTAAAATTACTTGAAGTGTTAGTACCAATCAAGTTCCTCTGCTAATTTTCATTTCTCCTGCAAATCATATGCTTCACAAATTGAAAGAAAACAAATTTCTCACAGCCGAATATTATTGACAACTATAGGCAACAACTATTTCAGTAATGATTTTACCATTCACTCCAACAAACAATTAACAAGTATGATACAGAGAGTTTTCAGTTGACCTATAAGCTTACAACCATATGCAATGTTCGTGGGAGTATTAAGTATTAAGACGACGAAGCCAAACCAAACGCAAACCTGAAAACTTAGTATTGCGCAGAATTAACGAAAACAAACGAACAAAGTAATTATGTGGACTGCTTTGACTTAGACGTAGAGGTGAGATGGCTCCAGAGATAACGACCGCTTGCCATGTCGACGAAGGTCCAGAACCCAGATTCGATTGCTACCCGAACCTGCATCACCAAATTGAGAAATTTGGGGATGAAAAAACAGAAACAATCGAAGGAATGTGGCAAGCGCATAAAAGTAGGAATTGAAAAAGAAGGGAAAATGAGGGAACCTTGGAGAATATAGGAATGGGAGAATCAGAAGATTGGGTGGAAGAAGAAGCGTCGTCACTATTACCATGATCATGGTCATGGTGGGGTTGAGATCTGAGGTTTCTGAGGACGAAGAAACCGGCGAGAGAGGCGGAGAGGAAGATGAGAAGAAGACGGAGAGGACACATTTGCTGAGAATGATACGATTCAGAAGGGCGTGACTTGAGAGGGAGTGTCAGAATTAGACCCTAAAATTAAGGTCTGGATTTGGATTGCGATACAATACAACTTTCGACTTGGAAAGTACCAAGTACTGGCTGAACCAACGTAAATTTGCAATTACAACCGCGAACAAGGCAGCGCAGGGCCGCTTGTTTTTTCACAGGGGTTTGATGCTTTTTTTTGACAAAAAATAAAATAAAATAAATCTTTAAAGCTGGATATATATATTATATGGATCCTGAAAAAAAAAAGAAGAAGAAAATTGAGCGATTCTTTTAGAAGAAATTTCAGTCGGGGGCTCTTGATCGACCTTAATGAAAAAGAGAATATCAAATTTGTTGAAACTTCACTAAAGAACCTGTCCGCAATTTTTGTTTAATTTGTTATGAAAATAATAAAATTACTCTCATTTAAATAAACAACGTAAACGATTTGTTCGTTTTCCTATTATATATTATTTATTTGCTTACGGAATGCTGTTTGTTTGTTTTACTTCGTTTGTTTATGGCTTGCAATGAAATCAAGTGAAAGTAGGCCTATAAATAAGTAAAGTAAGGAAATGAATAACATTTCATAAGTAAACAAACAATATATAATATAAGAATGAATAAGTCATCTTATCATAAAATCAACACGAAATGAAATCAAGTGAAATTAGGTTTATAAGTAAGTGAAGTAAAGAAATAAACAACATTTCATAAATAAATGAACAACATACAATATAAGAACGAACAAATCATTCATGTTAATTTAAATGAGGGCAATTTTATCATTTCTATCATAAATTCAACAGAAGTTCCATACGGGTCCTTCAGTGAAGTTTCATAAAATTTAGGGTTCTCTTTTTTATTAAATTCGGTCAAGGATCCCTGACTAAAATGTTCCCATTCTTTTATGCTCATTCATATTTTATTCTTAAAATACAAATTTTTTTAATTTTTAAATTGAATTTAAAATTTAAAATATATGTCTGTACTTTAAAATTAAAATTTCTATTACTTATTTAAATTTTTAAATATTAAATTTTTTATTTTTAAAAAATAAAAGATATTATAATTAAAATTTTTAATGTTTAAAAAATTTTAAAAATAAAAAAGAATAAAAACAGCTTATGGGCCCTTGTTTAAGCCCTTTGATTGAGGATTGAGTTTTAAAAAATGATTAATTCTAAGATAATTAAACATATGGGCTAGGTTAGGCCCATGCTTTTCCTAACTCTAAATGTAGATGAGCAGCTGCATAAGTCTTGCCAAATTCTTTTTCTAATTTTTAGACAAATATAATTATTAGTAATCATACTTTCAGGATCATAATTTGGGATCAATTTCTTTATTTTTTTTATTGTTACTAGTCCCTTTAATTTTATCAATATGTAATGTTAGTTCTCATCGTCATTAATAGGGTTAAATTTGCTAATATTTATATAACTCTATTAATTATATTGCTGAGTTAATAAAATTACAATGAGTTAGATACTGAACGGGCAAAATGATTACTAACATTTTTGTTGCTCTAGCTATCATGTCTTCTTCCATCTAATGCTTCATCCATCACATGTTTAAGAATTATGATTTAATGTCTTACTTGTTTCTTTTTTTCTTTTACTCATTTTTTTAATATAAATTATTATAATTTTAACAAATCAACATGAGAAGTAACAAAGTTTATGTACATGTTAGCCATTATTAAATCATTATGGTCATATTTAAAAATATAAAGATTAATATTACAGATAGATGAAACTTAAGAAATTAGAAGCAATGCAAAAAATAAAAGAGCTAAAATCAAAACATGAGAAATTTGTATTTACAAAATTTTCTATTTAATTATTGTACATATATAAAAAATATTTATATAAAGAAATAGAAATTGAGCAAAATATAAGAATGATATACGAGGATAGACATATTATACTATTGCCATTTTAAAATAATTTGCAGAAATTGTAAGACCAATAGGGAGAGGGAAAAAAAAAAAAACACGAAAGTGGCGAGATTGTAGTTCTATTAGGTGTTTTTGCTCTATCGGATGTGGGAGGCTTCTTGCTTTATGCTGGATGAGTGTTACTCTAAAGGAACTTTACTGGATTTTTCAAATGAAGCCCATAGGTACATTTTTTGAAGGGCTTTTTATGTGTGTCTTGCTTCTATTTTAGAAAGTGATAATATTTCTCTTAATCTCTTATTTCATGATTTTTTATAAGCACTTGCGGAGGTTTTCTCTTATATTTCCTTCATTTCCTCCCACTTATTAAAAGTGTGCGTGGATGGCTTTGACTTTGATTTTCATAACTTCGTGCTTTTTATAAGCGTGGGTTGAACTTGGGCTAAAAGTTAAATTTTTATGCAAACGAAGTTTAATAGCATTTTTAGTGGAGTGGAGTGGAGAAGTGGTGGTGAACTCTGACCAATAGCAAGCCAACACCTGTACACCACCAAGTTTATTAGGTACTTGCTTGCCCAATAACGTTTGAAGATTTATTAAAAAAAAAAAACAAGGAAGAAAGAAACATTTGAAGATAAATATAGCTTCTGGTCCGAATTAAATTGCCTATATATAGAATATTGAACGAATCCCACTGCAGACCCTAAAAAAAAAAGAAAATTACATTTTGGGCTTAATAAATTCTAATAATGCATTGTAGACTCAAGGATCACTTCTTGTAGTTTTTCTTGGGAGCAAAAGTACAATTTTACCTTTGTGTAATTTGAAAACTCAAAACTTGCATGAAACCCTTATCCACAAAGCACAACACGATACTCATAAAATACAATATTCATAAATTTTCAACATAATACTCAAGTGTATCTAGTTGATTTGTAGGTTAATTAAAACATACAAATCACACAGATCATATATAACACAATGTATATGGATACACAACTCTATATTCATGCATTATCAATACAATACTCATAAATTCTCAATATAATGTCCGTGTATGTCTAATTGATCAGTAGGTTTAATAAAATGTATAAGTTACATAGACAATGTAAAACAACATGTTCATGTATGCACAGCACGATATACATTCTCAACTGAATGTCTATTCGTGTCAAATTAATCAGCAAGTTTAATAAAATGTACGAGTTACACAGACAATTTACAATATAATGTCTATGGTTGTGCAATATGATATTCATGAATTCTCAATATAATGTCCATGTGTGTCTATTTAATCTATAGGTTAATTAAAACAAATCATGTAGAGCATGTATAATACAATGTCTATGGGTGCACAACACGATGTTCATACATTCTCAACACAATATCCATGTGTGCCCAATTGATTAGTAGATTTAATAAAATATACAAGTTATGTAAACAATATACAACACAATATCTTTGGATGCACAATATGATATTCATAAATTTTATATATAATGTCCATATGTGTTTAAAAAGGAAAAGGTGCAAATCTGTCCTCGAAGTATCTCGCGAGGGGTGTCAGGTATCCTAAAGTAAGGAAAGGTGCAATGTTACCCTCAATCTGTTAAAAAGAGAACAATTTTAATATATCTCAAACATTGACTGTTAATTTGACTTAATAATGCTTAGCTGGCCATCTATATGGAATTCTTTTTTTTTTAAAAAAAGAACATGTTCATAACCAAAAAGAATTTTTAGCTTTGCAGAAAATTTAGAACAAAGATGGAGAGAAGAGAGGAATACATGCCTGAGTCCAGATCTAGAATGAAGCTTGCAACATGGACACCATCAGTAGATCTGGGTAGGGGTGAGCAAAACTAAACCGAAACTGAAAACTGAATTGAACCAAATTGAGTTTGATCTGTTTGGTTCAGTTTATTCAGTTTAAAAGATCAGTTCGGTTTTTTTAAAAAAATATTTTAGTTTGAATTTTCGGTTCAGTTTGAAGATTGTGAAACTGAATAAACCAAAGTAACTGAAATTAATCAGATACATTTATAAATATTATAATTGATTTATATTATCAAAAATTATATTTTTTAAAATACTAATATCATATATTTATTAAAAGAGGGTGGGGAAAAAAATGTAGCCCAGTTGATAGCCTAGCCCATTATCAGTCTCTGCCACAGACCCATAGTGCCATTCTTTTTTTTAGTAAAAGCCATAGTGATTAGACATTCAGACTCGGCCTAGTGATACTCGTCACTCCTCGCTCGATTGCTCTCAGGGACTCAGATCAGACTCTTATCTTAGTCATTTAGGTTTAGTTTCTATCTCCCACTCGGCCACTCCATAGTCCACACAAAGTCATGACTCATGAACCCTAGCAAATAGCAATCTCTGTGACTCTGTATCTCCATCTCGCACTCGCTCGATCAATGATCAGTCAACGTCAGATCCTTTACAGACAACAGTTCGTTAGCTCCCCTCTCGATCTTGGCTTTGACTCTTTTCTCTCTTTCAGCCCCACTCTACGAAGCACGAACCATAGATCGCCTCAGGCTTTGTCTCCCTCAACCTCTATCACTCTCTCGATCTTAGCTCAGATCAACGTTCATCTCCCTTTGCCTCATATCAGCGTTCATCTCCTTTCATTTTCTCAAGTCTAGTTCATCTGAGCTCAGGCTTTATCTCCCTTCTCAGATAAGGGCAACTTATAGACGTAAGGTATGGTTCCAGCTAGCGACTTTCTTCATCTCATGCTTATTAACATATTTGTAAAAATGTCTCTATTTTTGAACTTTTGAGAAGTATGTCTCAAGCTTTGTTTTGTTTAATGGTTCAAATGTCTGCCTCCCGTGAAGGTGAAGGACAAACTATCACTCCAAATAGCCAAACACTAACTCCATCTTCAACATCTAATACTGAAGTGAGTTCAAGAAAAAGGAAGGCCATACAGCTAAGGTCTGAAGTTTGGGAGCATTTTTACAAATATGTTAATAAGCACGGAGAAACCAAAGGTAAGTGCAATTATTGTGAAAGGGAGTTTTTATGTGATCCAAAAAGGAATGGGACTACTGCACTTAAAAATCATATGGGTGTGTGTAAGAAACGGCCTCCTCCTGAAGAAGGCATACAAACCCACTTAAATTTTGGTATAGATCATAATGCTTCTATTCTTGCTAACTGGAAATTTGATCAAGAAGCAATTAGAAAATCTTTGGCAAACATGGTTATAACTGATGAACTTCCTTTCAAATTTATTAATGGGTTTGGGTTTAAACACTTTATGGTTGCTGCTCAACCAAGATTTAAGGTTCCTTCTAGATAGACAGTAGCTCGTGATTGTTTTAAAATTTACATGGATAAAAAAATTAGATTCAAAGACCACTTGATTAGAAACAAACAAAGGGTTTGTCTAACAATTGACACTTGGACTTTGACTAAAAGGATTTTGAATTTTATTCCAATATCTAGTCATAAGGGAAGGGATATTGGAATAAAAATTGAGAAGTGTTTGCTTGAATGGGGAATTGATAGAGTGTTTACTATTATGGTAGACAATGTTATTTCTAATGATATTGCTTTATTGTACTTGAAAAAAAAATTTCTAATTAGGGCTTTTCTATCATGAAGTGTCAGTTTCTACACATGAGATGTGTTGCTCACATTGTAAATTTGATTGTTGTTGATGGGTTGACATTAATAAGGAGTTCTGTGAAGAGAGTTAGGGAGGCTGTTCAGTTTATTAGGCAATCTGCCCTTAGGATGAAAAAGTTTAAAGAGAGTTGTGAGGATGAGAAGATTCAAAGTAAGAGCCTTTTGACTCTAGATGTCTCTACTAGGTGGAACTCCACCTATTTAATATTGGAGAGTGCTCAAAAATTTGAGGCAACTTTTAAGAGGTTTGAGGACAAAGACCCTTACTTTTGCATTGATCTTAAACAAGGGGAGGGGGTGCCTGATGCTGCTAATTGGAGGAATGTTAGAAGGATGGTGATGTTTTTGAGTCATTTTTATGAGATGACCTTGCATGTGTCTAGTGCTTTTTATGTTACATCCAATAGCTTGTTTTATGAGATTTACATGATATATCACCTTTTGGATGAATGGACAAAGTGTGATGATTTGGAGCTATCATCAATGGATTTTAAAATGAAAGAAAAATATGACAAGTATTGGGGAGATCCTTTAAAGATGAACCAACTCATTTATATTACTGCTGTTCTAGATCCTTGATGTAAGTTGGAATGGGTTCAATTTGCTCTTTGTAAAATGTTTAATGATGAAAGTGAAAATTTGGCAAAGCAAGTGAAGGATGTTTTCATTGCTTTATATCATGAATACAAAGAACATGTCTCTCCCTCTAAGCAATCTGAAAAGGAGCAGCTTGTAGATGAAATCCAAGCTGATTTTAGTAATGAAGATGACCCTGCTATGAAGGTTAGAAAGTTGCTTGAATCAGAAAAGAGAAAATTTTTAAGTGACCGCCTTAGTGGAAAAAGTAATAGGACTGAAGTTGATAAATATTTGAATGAGAAAATTGAAATAGATAGACCTAACTTTGATATTTTGGGCTAGTAGAAATTGAATGGTCCTAGATTTCCCATTCTTTCAAGGTTGGCAAGTGATGTTTTGACAATACCAATATCAACAGTTACTTCCGAATCTACATTCCGCACTGGAGGACATGTTTTGGATGCATTTATGAGTTTTTTAACTCCTAAAGTTGTGTAAGCCCTTATTTATGCTAAAGATTGGCTTCGTCACTCCATTCTTATAGTTGTGGAAGAGAAATTAGATGATATTCAAAGGATTGAAAGAGGTAAAAATTTTATAATGTTATGTATATGCAATGTTACCTTTAAAATTCATTTGTTTATGATTTAATTTAACTCCTAAATTGATTTATTTGTAGATTTCCAAAGAATTGGATTAGAGTCAGCAGTGGATAGTTTGAACTTTTTAAGGTAACTCTTTATTATTGCTATCCATGGAAATTGGTTCATGTAGTTGTGATCTTTGTTTTATTGTTGCTTTTTGTAGTTTTCTAACTTCTGGTACTGGGTAGACTATTGGTTCTTGTTGCTGTCTTCTTCTAGTCTTTTTGGTGGTTAGTTTTGTAATAAGCTTGTTCTTTTTTTTTAGTTCTGTAATATTTTGGCCAAAATGTTTAACTATTTTCTTTTATAATGTAGGTTCGAGCAAAGATTTTGCGTCATTGGCAGCTGGCAACTTGTGATGATCTAATGGATTAGTTATTTTGGATTATGTTAAAACTCTTGAACTTATTTGTAGTTTTTTAAGGGACTATTATTGTTATTTGGTGGATTATTTTGGATTGTTAAGAATTTATATTAGGTAAATTATCAATTTATAAATTATGTGTCTTTTGCTTTGTTTCTTCAACTTATAGGTGTAGATATGAATGACTGAATTTGATTAGTTTATTTTTTGACATTTTCAAATTTTAGAGCCTCATAAGGTCTATTTAAAAATCCCTTGATTCCCCTTTTTAGGATTTGGTGTTTTAAATTATTTGTTAATCAGCATTTTTTTTAGATAAGCCCAAAATGCTGCTAAAAAAGGCCCAAAATGCTACCAAAATCAAGCCCAAAGTGTTGTAAATAAGGCCCAGTAACTAAAATACAAAAACCAAACCGAACCACTAAACTTCAGTTCGGTTCCACTTCGGTTTTTATAAACCTTCGGTTCGGTTCAGTTGAATAAATTGATGAATTTTGGTTTTTTTAATTCACTTAAATCAGAACCAAACCGAATCGTTAGAACCGATGCTCACTCCTAGATCTGGGTATTCAATTTCTAGCTTTCCATAAAGGGATAAAAATACTATTCATTAAGAAAAACCATCGCCTTCCTCCTTCATCACCATCGCCTCCCTCCTTCATCTACTCCCTTCTTCCGTATCACTATTCTCAGACGACACATTCAAAATAATAGTGAATTGAACATATCAATAACAAAAATCATTTTAAGAAAATCATCTTTATAACTCAAATAAAGGGGCTAAAATTGACTAAATATTCAACAAACAAATCTAGCGGTGAGAAGCCACAAAGAAAATCTAGAAACAATTTGGAATCAAATCAAAGTAGACCAAGCACAAATAGCAAGAACTCAGTGTTCTTGAATGAATAGCAAGCAACCGGCAAGGACAATCGACGAGGTCGGATGGATCTAAATGGCAAGAACTTAACAAGCTTGAATGAAGCTAAAGAGCAAGAAATCAGCAAGGACGAGTGACGAGCTTGAATGAAGCTAGTAAAAACTCGATAAGCTTGAATGGAGCTAAATGGTAAGAAATCAACGAGGACAAGCAGTGAGCTTTAAGGTACAAGCGAGGACGATGGTTGGAACCCTACTTGTTCCAGTAAGCGCCAATGAATTCGGCAACGAAAACAACAAGGATGAGAGGCCGAGGATGATGACAGGGATAGAGGTAAGGAAAGTGATTAAGTTATGGACAGCCATGATGATGTTGATGATAAGATTTTTGCCTAGTTGGTTTCAAAGGTTGGAATGAAGAATCAATCAATTAGGTAGCCACGTGTGGATCCCACCTGGGCATAATAAGTCAACTTAATGTCAACATTTGGAGTCTATTAAAATTGGGCAACATTGCTCTCTTTTTAATAGATTGGGAGCAACATTGCACCTTTCCTTACTTTAGGATATCTAATGCCCCTCATGTGATACTTTAGGGGCAGATTTGTACCTTTATCCTAATTAAAATAAAGTCACACAAAGCATGTACAATATAATATTTACGGGTGCACAACACAACGTTCATGTATTCTCAATACAATATCCATGCATATTTAGTTGATTAGTATGTTTAATAAAATGTACAAGTTACATAGACAATATACAACACAATGTCTGTGGATGCACAATATAATATTCATGCATTCTAAACTAAATTTTCATGCTTGTCAAGTTGATCATTCCACCACTTTCAGTTCATTTCTTTCATTTTGATTAAAGGCCAAATTGTACTTTTGCTCTCAAAAAAATTGCATTTTTTAATTGACCTATAGATTAACTAGATACGTATGGATATTATGTTGAAAATTCATAAATATCGTGTTGAGAATTCATAAACATCATCTTGTGCTTTATGAATGAGGGTTTCGCCTAGGTTGTTTGTTTTTAAATCACATAAGGGCAAAATTATCACTCCTAAGAAAAATTGCAGTAAGGACCCTTAGGCCTGCAATGCATTTTTAAAATTTATTAGGCCTGTAGTGCAATTTTCTTATTTTTTGGGGCCTACAGTGGGATTCCCCCTAGAATATTATCTAGCAAGCTTAGCAATATCCTTTAAAAAAAAATAAAATTATTTACCAGAAAATAAAAGGCCTTTTTTTTATTAAAATGGCAGGCACTAATGATTTAAGGTTACAAATGAGATTAAACCCATAATTTCTTATTTATAGGAGATTTTACATGTCACTAAGTCAAGGCCATTGACATAAAAGGCAATTTTTTAAGGAAAAAAATATCATGTCAATTTGAAGAAATTCATTGTCATTCTTTTATAAGTCATGAGATTCTAATTTTAAAAATGTATGTTTTATTCCCCCCCTAAAATGCACTTTATATCACTATTTATTGAGGAAATAGAGAGCGTTACAATGAAATTAACAATATTTGATGTTAACAAGTTTGACCACTATCAGAATAAACATGGAATAAGGTGAGGCAGAGAATTGGGAAGTACATAAATTAAATACAAGTATCAACATATTCAACAGTTACTTATGAAACCATTAAACTTACATTGAAATATTTAAAATTTCTATTTTTCAAAAAATTATTTTTATAAGTTTAATGGTTGATGGCTTTATCTGTCAAATAAATATTTCAACATACATTACAATTATTCATTTAACTGTCAAACTTAATTGATAAGTTATTTGACGGTTAAATATATAAATTTCAAAATTAGGATTAGGATTTTATATAATTCAAATCATCCTCTCGCAAACTCGTTACTCCAAAACTAGTTTCTTATGCCCTCAATCATTCTTCCCCCCATAAATTTTGCTGAAATCAAATAACCATTCCCATACTCTAAACCATTCTCCCATAACGACATTCTAGTTCATGCCCTAGAAACTTCAAGCATGACACTCCTTGTTTGCGAGAAGAATTTCTTCAAAATCTCCAATCGATCATTTACATGGAATATCCAAGGGTTTGAGCATGTTCGTCGCCATTCTTGTCTCCTCTTCTACCCATTGTTAAGGTTCAAATTCTTGAATTCTAGGTTATTTTACCTCCTCATTTAGTTCAAAGCTTCTCTTGAAG